CCCTCTCTCTCTCGCCCTCTCTCTCTCTCCCTCTCTCTCTCCCCCTCTCTCTCTCTCCCTCCCTCTCTCTCTCTCTCTCTCCCTCCCCCTCTCTCTCCCACCCCTGGAGGAGTGGGCGGTCCTAGGCAGGCTTCATTTGCATGCAGACCGCCCTAGGTAACGCCCACATGTGATGCCGAGCTTCCATGATTGACAGAACTGAAATCCAATGAATTAAAGGAGCGGGGCCAGGGACAGTCAGGTTAGGGAGAAATGAGCTAAATGATGCTGGATGTCCTCCAGCCAGGAAATGAGGCGGGCTCTGTGTCACTCGCTGCAGCTTCTAATGCACATTGTGAGACGCTCGCGGTGTGCAGTGACATCAGAGGAAGAGGGCAGGAGCCGCTACAACCGTGCAAGACTCTAATTCCTGAGTGACACAATCGTCTCTCTCCAGTCTTGTGCAACCAATGAGAATTGTGATATCTCCTCCTTCCTGCAGGTGATTACAGAAGCGCTGCACTTCCCGGCTGTTTCCTGTTCTCATGCTGACTTCCTCCCGGCTGCTCTCCGCCCGGGTTCTACTCTTCCAGCTCTTCGGTGGCCCCTTCATGGGAGACATGAGCTCCAAGACCAGTCTGCCCAGCAGGGAGGCGGCTCTGTCCGGCAGGTCGGAGAAGACGCAGGTCTCAGGTAAGCGCGCCGAGTCTTCCAAACCGCAAAGAAGTGACGGCTTTATGTCTTCGGGATTCGGGTGTCAGGAGAATAGAGTGCGCTCCACATTCCAGGAGCTCTTATCAAATGGAACACAGGAGGTCAGCAGGTCAGGAGGACTTTAACTTTTGTCTTTTCTATTTATTTTCTTTTACTTTTCTTTCCAAACCTTTTTTTTTTTTTTACTTTTCTTCATTGATATCATGTAGGGGGTCTTACAAGCCCCCTATGGGATAGCATATTAGTGGTGACAGGTTCTCTTTAAGGTGGCAGCAGGGGGTCTTTTGGACCTTTTTTTTAACTTCATTGCTATCATGTAGGGGGTCTTACAAGCCCCCTAAGGGGTAGGGGGTCTTACAAGCCCCCTATGGGATAGCATATTAGTGGTGACAGGTTCTCTTTAAGGTAGCAGTAGGGGGTCTATTGGACCCCTAGTGTCATCTTTCTGCTGCAAAGAAGCTGTTTAAAAAAAAAAAAGTGCTTTACTTCTTGCACATATCTTCGAGTGCTGGTGACTTCTATTATGTGTGTTTGTGGAGACACACACGCAGCTTACGAGCACACACAAGGGTGGCTCCATGGGACCCTTCAAGGGAAAGGAGTCGCCCCAAAAACAGGATATCAGGGCCAGTGCTCAGGGGGACCGGCTGCTGATTCTGCAGGAAGCTCAAACTTTTAAACATCAAGGAGAAGCATCCATTGTAAGTGGTTTGATCAGCACCTGATATCAGCTTTAACTAGGGATGCACCGAGTACCGATATTTTTTTTTCCGGTACTCACCGATACCGAATACCGATACCGGAAGTCCCATTAAGGAAGCCAGGCGGCGTGTAAAGACTCGCCACCCGGCTTCCCGATCAGCAGGGAAGCCGTCCTCATGCTTCTAGTCACCAGGTGACCAGAAAGCATGTGGAGCCGGCTTTCCGGACAACCAGGAAGCCAGGGGCCCGTGTAATGACGCAGCACCCGGCTTTGTGATTGGCCGGGAAGCCGACTCCATGCTCCCTTGTTGTGAGGTGATGAGGGAGCATGAAGCCGGTGATTTGATCAGCATCTGACATCAGCTTTAACTAGGGATGCTCCGATATCGGTATTTTGGTACCGAGTACCGATATTTTTTTCCCGGTACTCACCGATACTGACATGGAATGACGCGGCGCCCGGCTTCCTGATACCGGAAGTATCGGGCTAGGCATCGGAGCATTTGGGCGAGTACGCGTAATACTCGGCATCGGCACCGGTATCGGTATCGGTGCATCCCTGACTTAAACACATTTTGACTTTAATATCACATGAGGGCGGGTGCACACGGAGAGCGTTTTCGGCTGATCCAGCAGGAAACGTAACATATAAAGCACAAACGTAGGGGGAACTGGACGGCTCATCTTACATATGGCATCGCTGTGAGTGTCGGCAATAAGGGGAATGTTTTTTGGGTCGTGATGCCGGCAGGAAATATTCAGCTAAAGTCTAAAAAATATTTGTTTTTAATGTTGTTCAGTATTTGTTTCCTGTTCCCCTCGGCGCCACCTCGTGGCCATAATGCAGCATTGCATCACAATACGTTCAAATGTATTGAGAACGTTCGTTCTTGTCATTATTCACTCAAACCCAACATTCACCCATCTGGTTAAGGGGGGAGTGGCGGGGGGGGGAGCGGGTTGCACACATTCGATCATTGTCCAGCAGCAGCTCAGGTTTTTGTGATGTCTAGAGTATGAGTACTCACCCAAATAACAGTATCGGTGCATCCCTAGTCATTACTCACCTTAGATTAGAGAAGCCCATGTACCAGCAAAGGGGTCTCCCCTTTGCTAGGGGCAGCGCTAGCATCGACCCCTGACCCTTATTTTCCCCTCCGTCTCGGCTTTGATGGGTCGCTGTACAAACACGGGGGTATATATCTGACAGTGGCATATAATGTTACACTTGATGTGGTCAGGCACCATTGTTAATGAGACCTTCATTTTCATAAAGGGGGCACCCAGATGCTGCCCCCCCCCCTTGTGTATGTGTAAGGGGTAGTTGTTACCTCCACTCATTCACCACAGAGTGACTAAAATAGTGAAAAAAAAACACCCTGAAAAAAGTCCTTTAATTAAACAAAAAACAAAAGCCATTTTTTTGATAGTTCCTTTATTATTAATCTCCAAACCCCCTCAAAAAAAATAAAAAAAAATAAATTGTCCAATCCATGGCCAATCACGTCGTCCAGCAATGTAAATCCGCCCGCCAACTCGACGAAATCA